ATATCATATCTGTTTATTATAATGGGTATGCCATATATGACCGAGATGACGTGGTATCACCTCTCAACTCATTAATTGACATTTACTAAAAAAATGAGACCAAAGTTTGATGTAATTAATCACTTAGCATTTTACCAAGCAAAAAGTAACTTCTCACATCCTATTTTAATTACATGTCAATTAATAAGTAAAATGGTATATTATGTCATATTGATTACATGACGCACCTGTTATATAAAATATTTTCTTAAACAATGAAAGAGTAAGGGGTGTTTGGCATGTATTAAAATAGTATATGTTATTTTAACATATTATCTTATTTGGGTCATAATCATCTCATTTAGGTCATATCACCTCTCTACCACATCACTTCAAGCCTAATTTATATTTCATTTTTTTCATAAAAAGACAAAAAAAATATACTAATTTAGCACATGAATATAAGAAGATTTGTTTGGAATTGATGTGGTTAAATTATATAAATGTGAATCTTACATTCATGTGAGATATTTGATAAAAAATTTAATAAAATTTTTAGAATATCTAGCATTACTCCACTAATCCAACTAGTGAATTGGGGAGAAATCTCACCCTATCATTTTTATATACTTATTTTACTACCAACAAATGGTGACCAATGATAAATTATTTTTTTAATCACTTTTTTAGGAGAAGAACGCATCATTTTAAAAGAAAATCTTTTTAAATTGTTTAGATTTTTGAAAACTATACACATGATGTGAAAATGTATATATATATATACATATATTATAAAATAATAATGTTTTCAAACTTTATTATTTTTTACTATCACTTGACTCGTGTAATACAATTGCTATTTTTTTTCAAAATATATTTGGAGGCAACAAGAAGTGAAGAATTACAATCTCTGTATTTTTCAATCACTCCCCTTTGATTTGTGCATACAAATACTCCGAGGGGCAGATCAAGGTTGGGTACGGCCTGAGCCGGGTTGGGGTCGGTTAGGGTTCGAAGTAGACTCGCATGTCAATCCAAACCCAAACCTGCATTATGCATACACAAGCTATTTATAAAGCTATATATATAATATTCACACACATAGAAGTAACTCCATATTCGATGAAAGCATGAATAATCACAAGCAATGAAGCAAGAAAAAAAAATTCAAGGTTCCAATCAAATAATGAGAGGAGATAGAGAAAAACTGTCGACGGCGGCGATGAAGATGGAGTTTGTTGGGGAGAGAAGAGCAGAGAGAGGGAGAGAAAGAGATTGGTTTGATTTGAGAGAATCACATTTCTCTGTAATATTTGAGTGTCAGGGTTGAAGGACCTTAAATATCATAAAATAATATTATGGATTGCTTCCATTACTAAAAATGGGATACGGACCTTAGAGTTATTTTCTCTAAAAATAATAGTTAAATTATAAGAAGAATTAGTAATATAAAATTAAAAGTAATTCTAATTATTTAATTTTTTTATATTCATTTGAAAAATAAAAATATGTAGAAATAGAAACTATATAAAATTTATTGAAAAAATTAAATATAAATATGCTATAATTATATATCATATAATGATTTTATATGATATATATATATATATATTATAAGATTGTAAAATAAACACGCTTAATTAAATTAAAATATCAACTATATAATAAAAGAAATTCAACAACTACTAATCAAGAAAGAATCTCATAATAATATCTAAACCCAAAAATAAAAAATAATTGAAAAATTCAAAGATAGATATATCTCAGTGTATGAAGTGATTAATCATCTGTAATATGATGTTAAAACATAGAAACACTTACTGTTCAGTAATT